ATAGCTAATATCAGCCCAAATAGACTGAGTTTTAGCCATTACGACTGAATTCATTCTGGAAATCAGTACTTCAAATTTTGGTGTAAATTGTTTCAAATATAGCTTTAGCTCCCATATATATGTTTTATCCGATTTAGAGTTTCAAGTTGCTCGCAAGCGTAATATGCATTCCACAACAATGATCCATGTACAAGATATCAGATACAGCTCTGAAATAATTGGATATGACTCCCATACCGATTTAATTGTGCACCAAATAGCCAGTATCAGTCCAAATGACCTGAATTTTGGCACATCCGACCATATTCAGTCTAGAACCAAATACATCAGTTTGGACAAAATCGGTTCAGATATAGCGATTGCTCCTATATATATGTTTCATCCGATTTGGTGTTTAGGTCCCTCACATTCGTAATATGCATTAGACAACAATGATACTTGGTACCAGGTATCTTATAAAGCTCGGAAATACCTCTGCCAAATTTTATCAAGAGCTGTTCAGATTTGGATATAGGTTTCATATATATCTTCAACCGATTTCCGGTTAATTGTGAACGAAATGACCAATATCTCTCAAAAAGTCTTGAATTGTGGTAAATCCGACCGAATTGAGTCCAGAAGCAAGTTCATCAATGTTGACAAAATCGGTTCAGATATAGCGAAAGCTCCCATATATATGTTTCATCCGATTTGATGTTTAAGTCCCTCACATTCCTAATATGCATTCGATAACAATGATGTTTGGTACAAGTTATGTTTTAAAGCTCGGAAATATCTTTGACAAATTTTTATCGAAAACGGCTAAGATTTTAATGTAGCTCCCATATATATCATTAATCTGATTTCAGGTTAATTGTGCAAATAATGGCTGATATCAGCCCAAATTGAGTGAGTTTCGGGGCGTACGTTTCCATTTTGTGTAACTCCGGCTCCGATATATATTTTTATACCCTCCACCATAGTATGGAGGGTATATTAAGTTTGTCATTCTGTTTGTAACACCTCGAAATATACATTTTAGACCCCACAAGGTATATATATTCTTAATCAGCATAAAATTCTATGTCGATTTATCAATCCGTCTGTCCGTCTATCCGTCTGTCCGTCTATCCGTCTGTCCGTCTGTGGAAATCACTCTAGTTTCCGAACAAAATGAAGTAGGTTGATAAAATTTTACTCAAATGTGTACTTATGGTATTGAAAATGGGCCATGTAGGTCCACGTCTTCGTATAGCCCCCATATAACGGTACCACCCGATATTCGGTATTTTGATGATTTAAGCGACATTATTTACCGGAATTGTTTCACATTTTGCATTTGAAGTTCATATTGGATGCTACAGCCTATCACAGAAAGTTGTCTGTGCAGGTCCACGCCTTCGTATAGCCCCCATATAACGGTACCTCCCGATATTCGGTATTTTGATGATTTTATCGACATTATTTACCGGAATTGCTTCAAATTTCGCATTTAAAGTTCGTGAAGTTCGATATTACACCCTATGACAGAAAATTGCCTGAAACAGATTTTGAGTTTTGCCTTATTAAGGCGAAGATTATATGTTTTATGATTTATGTGTTTGATTTCTCTTTCGAGACGAGCTTAATGATCTGAAATTTGCAGTGAAAAGGAAAGCCAGATAGACACTATCACACACTCACCACTATGCGACGCGTTTCGCCGTTGGTTAAGCGGCTCATCAGGCATATTTGGTGTGGATGATGGCTTACAAGGGCCGTTCTCTGGAAAGTAGTATATATTTCGAACTTATTGCAAATTAGCATATGCGAATTATACACTAGAAACTCTCCAGGTTCGACTCAAGTTCTATTGGCAGATCTTTTTCACAGCAAAGTTTTTTATTGTGGACAAAAAATCCATCACCAGACTTTTAGCACTTCTATACAGTATCAGTGACCTATATATATCAAATTTCGATTCCGAATGTCTATTTGCGGATCATCTCTTAAATCAACTCTCAATTTCGCTATTATTTGTCATTTAGTAATTTAAGTTTTTTTCATTATTCTAAACTGCAACCACATACAAATTTAAGTCCTATGAAATTTATATTAAATCTGTGAAAATAATAACACTTGCCTTGCAGTGGAACTACCCATATGTTAGGCCACTAAGATTTCCATCCATTTTTTACATAAAGTTATTTATTGTTTCAATAAAAGTTTAATATTGCTCTTTTTTGTAAAAGATTTCGCTTTTAAGCGGCAATTGCGATTTTTATTAGCGTAATCGCCACCATAGAAACATAAAATGTTCTGTTTCGTTATATTGGCAGACGACGAACTTGTAGAGGTTGTTGTTACTGTTTTTTTTTTTCGTTTTTTTGCCCGTCCATACCTTGTCGATGCCTTCATTTGTCCCCACATCAAGTCGGCAACTCACTCTGTCCGACAGATCGTTTAAAGATTTAACGACTTTTAATTATCTTAACTGGGATTCCATTTGTTTTAATGTTCACCTCTAACTAGTTTTATGTGTGTATGTTTGAATGTTTGTTAATTGTTTGCTGTTTAATATGAAATTGTAACAATTGCGGAGTGGAGAGAGAGGGGAATGTGCCAGAATACCACATTGTTTGGAATTTAATTATTTCGATCTGAAAAAAAATAATATTTGATTGTCATCTCCACCGAAGTAAGTGCTGGCACGTTTCTTCTAAGGTGTAATCGAAGGAAATTCCTTACCACATTCATCGGTGATTTATTGAAGGGTCTCTAAAATGTTGCATAAATATAGAGCACTTCGTTGTGTCGTGTAGGGACCGCAATGTCCGCATGACAGTGTTTAATTGAATTCAAGAAAAAAAAGCTGTTGATTTATTATTGTTTATTGCATTCTTAATGCTCTAATTGAATGAACAGCATCCATCCATCCGACGGAACGACCAAACCACCGACCAAGTCACGAATATCATCAGCCCTCTGGATTTGAAATGTCTGTCTCTAGTTCTCTCTCTCTCTCTCTCGTTAGAGTTCATGAATATTCATTTAACTGCTATTTCCATATAAGGGAATTGTTTGCTGATAAATGTTTTTTACTGTGTTAAATATTTTAAATGATTTAATGTAAATTGCGATTGTAAATAACTTAATTAGATCAGAATTTATTTTCAGATAATTGTTGAATTCTCCTCTGCGGAGTTCGTGTCTTAAGTCTTTTGTTTTGTGAAGGAAGGAATAAAACGTAATGATTTTATTTGATATAAATTTGGAAATGAGGCTGAGCCAAATATTTTCATTTGAATTATTTAAGGTTGTAATTAGCAACCCGATTTATCAAAATTTCAAGAGTATAATAAATTTCAACACCTTGGAATATAGTTATTCTTTCTAATCGAATCGTGATCATTTTATCAATCATTATTTATACCCTCAGCCATATGGCTAAAGAGGGTATATATCATTTGATAGGTCAAAACGTGGCTAGTCGAAATAACGGTTTTAGACCCTAAGTCTCTTTGGACCAAATCCGTTTTAGAACATTTGGAGTCGATCTGGCGATATCCGTGCGTCCGTCCGTATGTCTGTCTGGCTGGTGCGCACGATAACTCTCGAGGGGAATATCCGCTTGGTACATCGTAATATTTCTGTCAAACATAGATCGAGTTCGGAAACGGGCAATATCGGTCCACTCCTTCTGGTACCTCCCCCACAAAAGGTCGAATTTTTCAAAAAATATTTTTTTTTTTTGCACAGAAAGAGAAAGGATAATCCGATTTTGCTCCAACTTTGCAAATCCTAATATTTGCGCCAGTGCTAGGTCAGGTGTGAAAATGGACTATATCGGCCCACCCCATAAAATACCTCCCCCAAAAATGGTCAAAATTATAAGTAATTACAACTCTCATATAATGTGATGTAAGAGTCCGATTGCCTTCAAATTTCACACATCCCAATATTTATATTAACTCAAGGTGTGGTGTTAAGATGGAATAAATCTGCGAACCCCTTCTGCTACCAACCCATACAAGGTCAACATTTCAAAAAAAAAAATATTTTTTTCTGAACAGAAAAGGAAGCCATAATCCGGGTTTGCTCCAACTTTGCAAATCCTAATATTTGCGTCAGTTTTAAGTCCATCAAGTTCCTCCCCCACAAAGGGTAAACATTAAGAATAATTATTAGTCTTATAAAATGTGATGTAAGAATCAGATTGTCTTAAAATTTCACACATCCCAATATTTTCATAAACCCAAGATCTGTACCTGGCCGTTACCTCCTGGTACCTCCCCCACAAAAAGTCAAAGTTGTAAATAACTAAAACGTTTATATAATCCGAAATGAGCATCAGGTTCTCTTTATATTTCACACATCCTATTATTTCCACTAACAAAAGATCCGTTGTGAAGATGGGATACATCGGTCCACTCCTTGTGGTACCTCCCCAACAAAGGCTCAAAAATTTGAATATCCATGAAGGTCATAAAAAGCGAAATTGACATCCGCTTCTATTCAAGACTTGGTAAATCTCAAAATTTCCATTAAAACAAGACAGTCCAAACCAAACACGTCGTAGGTCCGATACGAAATGGCCAATATTGGCCCACTCCTTTGGAACCTACTGCATAAGGGGTTAAACATTTGAATAATCCTAACAGAAGTCAAAATATTTTTAAGTAATCCAACATTGGCTAAGGGTATACATCTGTCGGCAAAACCTACCGAAAATTTTTCATTTGTTAATTGTTATATCCTCAGCTGTAACTGAAAGTTGATAACATGCCGTTTACCGCATAAGGCAAATAATTCTTATACACTTGGTAACATAGCTTCAGCTCGTTGTTTCACAGCAGCTTCGGCTCGTTGTTCTAATGGATCATCGGTTCATTGTTCCTCAGGAGTTTTGGCTCCTTGTTCCGCGGGAGCTTCGGTTGATTGTTCATACATTCATACCTCACACATTGACAGTTAATTAGAGGTTGTCATAAACCGTAGTGTTATGTTCTGACCCAAATAGCTAAATCCGAAAACATCCACAGGGAGCTGCCGAACACGAATGAATTTCAATCCATCTGTGAAGGCCTAGACATCGGCTCCCGGGATATCCTCAGTGAGTTGGCGAATCAGAACGAGTTTCGATCCATCGGCAAAGGCCCAGACACCTTCTGCCGAACATACCTTCAACGAGCTGACGTTTTCGAACACGTTCGGATCCATTTGCGAAGATCTTGACATCGGCTGCCTAACATACCTTCATTGAGCTGCCGAACCCGAACGAGTTTCGATCCATTTGCGAAGGCCTAGACATCGGTTCCCGGGGTTACCCTCAGTGAGATATCCGAACGGAAACATCGGCAAAGGACAAGACATCGGCTGCCGCACATACCTTCAACGAGTTGCCGAATGTGATCAAAAGGTATTTATATGTCGGAATGACAATTGCAACTTTCTAACTTGTTTCAACTAAAATGCATAAAACTAAACCCTACTTCTATTTTCTTTACCATGTTTCCAAGAGTCTCAATCACGGATACCTAATAAACTAATGTTTCAATTGATTGCATGTTCAATGCGAATGCACGATTCTCGAAGAGTTACAGCACACATGACAGCGAATGAAATTGAAAGTTCATAATGGTTCAATGTCGCTCGCTTCGAGCCGACTCGTCGGGGAGAATACCATCTCCCACTTACATAATGTCGTAATGAAAGGAACATAAATCTTTTTCAATTGCTTACCATATAAGTTAAAGTTTCATTAAAGTACACAAAGATGGTATTATGCAATTCGAACAGCACTATTCTTAAGAACAACAACCAGGAATTTTTATGAAGCAAAAAATTAAGAAAAATAAAAAATCTATATATCAACATGAATGAATGATGAAAGCAAAATGTCAACAATTGTTATTTAACGGAACACAAAGAATGATAGTATGAAGCGAAGTGAGTTGAGAAAACTTAGAGCATTATTGCATAACAGACGAGAATAATAGTAGAATATCAATCACATGTTGTTGAAATCTAAAAAATGTATGTTCATTGCAATGAATATGTGAAATGTTATCTTTCCGAAGATGGGATATCTTTAGAATGTCTTACATATATGAACCTCTAACATGTATATAATATCGCTAGTTTATAAAACTTTAAAAATTATTTTTAAATTCTCAAATGAAATTTTACTTTTTGAATTTAGAATATAACTACCTGACTATCCTTGAGATATAGTTAAAGATATTGTCATACAGAACAAGAATTTTCAAAAAAAAAAAAATATATATATATATATATATATATAATTTTTTCTCAGGATCTGATCTATAGATAAACCACGCTAAAAAAGTATCATTATGTTTATTCAAAATGTTGACCCTTTATGTAGGAGATTTCTCATCTGAACTAAATCGTATATGTATGCATATATAAATACTTGTATTTATTACAATGTACCCGATTTAGACTATATCGACTATTTCCTTCATTTAATATCAGATATGTAATAGTTGTTGGAAAATGTGGAAATCTGCGAAACGTACCAGATATATTGAACCAAAGTATTCTACATCATCGAATACTGATAAAATAAGTAAAAAAAGTATCGGTTTTGCCGACAGATGTATACCCTCAGCCAATGTTCGATTATTTAAAAATATTTTAATTTCTGTTATGATTACTCAAATGGTTAACCCCTTATGCAGTAGGTTCTGAAGAAAAGGGCCAACATAGGCCATTTCGTATCGGACCTAAATAAATATGATATAAATATTGCGACGTGCTAGGTTTGGACTGTGTTGTGTTGATGGAAATATTGGGATGCACCAAGTCTTGAGTGGAATCGGATGTCAATTTCGCTTTTTATGAGCTTCATGGTTATTCAAAATTGTTAGCTTTTGTTGGGGAGGTACCAGATGAGGTGGACCGATTTGTTAATGGAAATAATGGGATGTGTGAAATATAATGTTTATTTCGGATTTTATAAACCTTTTGTTTATTCAAAACTTTGACCCTTTTTGGGGGAGGTACCAAAAGGAATAGTCCGATCTCTACCGTTTTTTTTAACAGATCCTGTGTTGATAGAAATATTCAGATGTGCCAAATCTAAATGAAATCCGATGTTAATTTCGCGTTTTACGAGCTTAATGGATATTCAAAATTTCGACCTTTTGTGTGGGAGGTACAAGAAGGAGTGGGCCGATATATTCCATCTTAACACCAGACCTTGGGTTAATATAAATATTAGGATGTGTGAAATTTGAAGACAATCGGACTCTCTTAAGAGAGTTGTTATTATTCAAAATGTTGACCCTTTGTCTGGGAGGTCCCTGACTGATAAAAATATTAGGATTCGCAAAGTTCGACCAAAATCGGATTATCCTTTCTCTTTCTGTACAATAAATTATTATTATTATTATTATTATTGTTTTTTTTTTTTTTTTTTTTGAAAATGTTGACATTTTGTGTGGGAGGTACCAGAAAAAGTGGACCGATATTGCCGATCTTAGTTTGAGAATAGTTTTACGATGTACCAACTTTGGACTTCAGCCAGACAGACAGACGGACGGACATCGCTAGATTGACTCCAAATGTCCTGAAACGCATTTGGTCCAAAGATACCTAGGGTCTAAACCCGTTATTTGAGGGTATAAATATATAGATGTGCAAAATTTGAAGAAAATCAGAAATCTATAACCATTTTTTTTTTGAATAATTGCTAATCATAATTTTTACCTTTTTTGGGGAAGGTACAAGAAGGAGTGAGCCGATAAATTCCACATTCACATCAGATCGCTCCCTTCGGGAGTTATCGTGCCCACCAGCCAGTCAGACAGACGGACGAACTTCATTAGATGGACCCCAAATATCCTGAAACGGAAAAGAGACCTAGACGTTTTGGCCGTATCAAATGATATATAAATGATGTAGCCAAATGACTCAGGATACATAAACGTTGATCTCTTTGTCGAAGAAGGGTTCTTAAGATGAAAATAATTTTTGGCATAACTGCGATAGTTCCAGAACGTATTTAACCAAATTAAACGAATCCCTTATTATATTAGGATACATAAATTTACTACTAAAAATCTGTCCAAATGTCGGGGTTCCTTCTCTAAATTATAAATAAAATAGCTGTGTTCCGTAGTGTACTACTTTTGTCAACAACGTATAAAACTTACAAATTTTGAACAAGGGCTATGGACGGGCGTTGTCGACCATTTGATTTGATCTCTAAGAAGAATCAGTATTTCAAGAAAAAGATATTCCTACTACGCCAAATACCTAATTCGCTCTTTCCCAAGAAGAAGCTTCACAAATTATTTATTATCATTTCATTCTCGAAATTATGTCACATATTCCTGCAAAAGTTTTATCTTGGTTTTTGGCAGAAACATGGAGTCATGTCGTACGTTTGTCTTATATTTACGCCTCATATCGTGTTAATGGGTATTCAATAACAATATTTGAAAATTAGGATTTCTCTATCTCCGATATTTTTCTATATTTGTGAACGAAATCAGCATCAATGTAAAGGTCAGCGGTGCGCTTTTATGTATTTGTGATCTCGTTAATTTTGGTTTATTTTCACCCAAAATTGTGATTCATTTCACCAGCTAAAAATTAACCGGCGAACATCTAATATGTTAAGCTTGAGGTACCTCCCACACAAAAAGTCAAAATGTAAAAAAAACATTTTACTGCGCAGAAAAAGAAACAATAATCTGCTCCAACTTTGCAAATACTAATATTTACATCATCTTCCAAAATAGGGTGCAATATTTTGAAAAACAAAACGCTCAAAGGAAGCGAAATAAACATCCAAATCGCTTCAAATTTAACACATACAAAAATTGTTGCCAACACAAGATCTGTTGTAAAGATGGAATATACCTGCGAACGCCTATTGGGTCACAATTTTGGATACTTTTATCTGCCATAACTTGCGAAACAAGTCAGCGATTCTCTACAACTTCGTTTATCAAAATATATCTCCCAATCAGAAACCTGAGATGAATATGGTATTTATGATTTCGCATAAAATTGGATTGGATTAGATTTTCTTGTAATTTTGCCCATACCAATATTTTTGTATTTTTACTTCGGTCTGGTATCTGGTACATCAGGCACATTTTAAGATTTTTTAAAAATTATGACAAATCTAATAAGTCCAAACCTGGCACATCGCAATATTTATATCATATATATTTAGGTCCGATACGAAATGGACAATGTTGGCCCAATCCTTCGGAATATACCCCATAAAAGGTCAACAATTTGAATAATCACAAGAGAAGTCAAAATACATTTAAATAATCGAACATTGGCTGAGGGTATGCATCTGTCGCTCTCTTTCAACCCGTAAATATTTTGCGATCACTCCTTGCGAGACTTCTTGTCTGATATCGTATTGATCGCGTCATAATTGCAACCTGTATGTAATACCCCCAACAAATAGTGTTGTAGGGTGTAAAGAATGTTTCAAGTCCAAAAATAATGCTCTGCTTTCACAGTTATTAGAGAATTATTAGGAACTACTGTTTCATACAGTATTGAAACTCTATAAAATTTTGTGCATTTTAGTAGCTACCGAAACCTTTCAACATGAGTTTCCCAATTTCCACAATGTTGTACATGTTAATATTTAACGTACCCCAGGAGTATGAATTTCGTATATCGTGAATAATTGGCACATACTGTACCCAGCGTGACCTCCATGAAAATTTTTAAAGCTTTTAATCTCACATCTATTCAGAAGAATAAAATGAGTCTGTCAAATGTTTTTTATACCCTACACCATACTATGGTCAGTATGTATGTCTTTATACTTTTGTTTGTTACATAGAGAAGGAAGCGAGTCTATGGGTCTGGTTCCTTTTGATGATCTGCATAGAAACACATTCTGAGTCGATTTATGCATGTCCGTCCGTCTGTCCATGTATTTTTGTAAAGAACGTACAGGTCGCATTTATTGCCTGATCGAGATGTTATTTTACACAAATAATTTGTTTGGGCCAAGGACGAAAACTATTGAAATTGGAGATATATATCTTCGTCCGATTTGCTTTTTATTGTGTACCAAAAGTGTTATATTAGGCCAAATTGGATGAGGTTTGGTACATATAACCAAATGGTTACACACAGCAAAGATATTTGGTGCCAAATATCAGATGCAGCATAGAAATGCCTTTGCTAAATGTTATAGATACCGGTTCAGATTTGGATATAACTACCACATATATCTTCAGCCGATTTTACATTCATTGTGCCTAAAAAATAGGATGGATTTGATGAATAATATGCATTCAAAAGCGATCATATTTAGTATGTTTTAATCCTTAAAAATTTACCATAAAAGCCTTTATTTCTTATATGTAGCTCTACAATATATGTATGTAAAATGGTGTATGATATCATAAAGTCGGTCCAGTCCGACTTTGTCCTTTCTTTACTGATATTTATTTTTAAAATTGAGTGTCGTTTCGTCTCTATAGCTCGTAGCGGCATTCTGTTGAAACCAAACGCTGACAATATCCTCGTCTTCAATTCAGTCAATTTTTTCTGGAGCACTTCTGAAAATCCTGCTTTAAGATTTCGAGTAAATATAATAAATCATGTTTATATAAGCGATAATATATTTTCTCATTCCACAATTATCCATCAATGCAAAAACCTTCCACATACATAAAGAAATCGTTGAAGAACATTTCCATCGCAAAAGATTTACACCATAAGCCCAAGTCAGAATAATTTAGCATTTGACCAGCGAAACATTCAACATTCATTACATGCACCCTCAATACAAATCGTCACGATAATAACTTATGACGTTTTGGCGAACATTTAAATTTCAGATATCAGAGTTTTTTTTTTTTTTATTGATGTTTACTCAAATCATGTGTCAAGTTGTCGTCTTTAGCTTGAACATAACTGACAACCTTCATGCTGAAGGGTTTTTGTCAGTGTAAAGTTCTTAATTATTGTCGAAGTACCGAAGGTCGGTGGATTGAAGAATTTGTTTTTTTGCTAAAAGACATTTAGTGTTTTGTAAGTGAACAAAAACACAGAGCTAAGAACAAG